GGAAGGAAGATGGGGCAATCTACTTCCATAGTGATACTGCCTCAGAAACCCAAGGAGGGGTTGCTATGAGTCGGGTCCGACTCAATGGCACATAACAACAACAACAACATATTTGATAAGAGCTACTCCACAATTTACCCAGAAATGCAATACCAGTTCTAAACTTTCAGTCACTTTAGTAATGAACTAATTTTAAGGAATTCATTTTTATGCTTTGTAATCCGTTATCAGGTACCAAGTTAAGTATTTTCTATTATAAAATACATAGATAATGCTAATATTTATACTCAACACTCATCTTGGTGGCTTGAGTGTTGTTGTGAGGCTGGAGGCTATGCCACTGATATTTTGGTGGACAGGTTTCAGTGGAGCTTCCAGACAAAGATAAGACTGGGAAGAAAGATGGGACATGCACTTCTGAAGAAATTGGCCACTGAAAACCTTATGAATAGCAGTGAAACACTGTCTGATATTACTGGAAGACTTTATGAATAGCAGCAAAACATTGTCTGATACAGTGCCAGAAGATGAGTCCCTCAGGTTGGAAGGCACTCAAAATATGACTGGGGAAGAGCTGCCTCCTCAAAGAAGAGTGGACCTTAATGACATGGATGGAATAAAGCTTTCGGGACCTTCTTTTGCTGATGTAGCATGACTCAAAATAGGAAGAAACAACTACAAACATTCATTGATAATTGGAACATGGAATGTACAAAGTATGAATCTAGGAAAAATGGAAGTTGGCAAAAATGAAATGGGATACATAAAGATTGATATGCTATACACTAGTGAGTTGAAAGGGACTTGTATTGGCCATTTTGAATCAGACGTGTACTATGATATAGTATAGTATGGTGTACTATGCCTGGAATGACAAATTGAAAGGACTGGTGTTACATTCATCATCATAAAGAACATTTTAAGATCTATCCTAAAGTACAGTGCTGTCAGTGATAGGATAAAATCCATACACGTATAAGGAAGAGCAGTTAATACGACTATTAACTTATGTGCCTACCACCAAAGTGAAAGATGTAGAAACTGAAGATTTTTACCAACTTCTGCAGTCTGAAATTGACCAAACATGCAATCAAGATGTATTGATAATTACTGGTGATTGGAATGAAAGTTGGAAGCAAAGAAAAAACATCAGTAGTTGGAAAATATGACTTTGATGATAGAAATAATGCTGGAGATCACATGATAGAATTTTGCGAGACTTAGGAAGATGGGGGGCAATATACTCCTGTAAAGATTTACCACCTCAGAAACCCAAAGGAGGTCACTATGAGTCGGAAATACTTGATGGCAGTGAGTTTGGGTTTTGGGGTTTTTTTGTTTCTGTTTTTGTTTTTGAGTATTCATTGCAAATACCTTTTTTCCAAGTCAAATAAAATTTTTCAAATTGACTGTATGTATGGGAAGAGGTATTGGAGAAGTTCAGTATCATGAGTCAAAACAAGGCCAGGAGCTGACTGTGGAACAGACCTCATTTGTTCATTTGCAAGTTCAGGTTGAAGCTGAAGAAAATTAATATCCGTGAGAGCCTAAATATGATTGTAAGTATATCCCACCTGAATTTAGAGACCATCTGAAGAATAGATTTGATGCATTGAACACTAGTGACCGAAAACCAGACAAGTTGTAGGATATCAAGAACTTCGTACATGAAAAAAGCAAAAAGGTCATTAAAAAGACAGGAAACTAAGAAAAGACCAAAATGGATGTCAGAAGAAACTCTGAAATTTGTTATTGAATGGAGAGTAGCTAAAGCAAAACGAAGAAATGTTGAAATAAAAGAACCAAATAGAACTTTCAAAGGGCAGCTCAAGAAGACAAAGTAAAGTATTATAATGAAATGTGTAAAGACCTGGAATTAGAAAATCAAAAGGGAAAACATACCCAGCATTTCCCAAGCTAAAAGAACTAAAAAAAGTAAAAAAGCCTTGTTTCAGTATTGAAGGATTCCGTAGGCAATTACTGAGTGATCTAGAAAGAGTCAAAAGAAAATGGAAGGAATACACAGAGTCACTGTACCAAAATAATTGGTCACTGTTCATCCATTTCAGGAGGTGGCATATGATCAAGGACCAATGGTATTTAAGGAAGAAGTCCAGGCTGCACCGGTGAAAAACAAGTCTCCAGGAATTGATGGATTACTCATTGAGATATTTCAACAAATGAATGCATCACTGGAGTTGTGTACTCCTTTATACCAGGAAATTTGCAGGATAGCTGCCTGGCCAATTGACTAGAAAGATCTATGTTTGTGCCCATTCCAAAGAAAGGTGATCCAACAGAATGTGGAAATTTTCAAACAATATCATTCATATCACATACAAGTTAAAATTTAAGAAATATACAAACGGTTGCAGCAGTATCTTGACAGGGAACTTCCAGAAATTCAAGCTGGATTCAGAAGAGGATGTTGAACGAGGGATGTCATTGCTGATGTCAGATGGATCTTGGCTGAAAGCAAAGAATACCAGAGAGATGTTATCTGTGTTTTCTTATCTATGCAAAGACATTCAGTTGTGTGGATCATAACAAATTATAGATAACATCAAATTATAGATAACATCGAAAAGAATGGGAATTCCAGAACACTTAATTGTGCTCATGTGGAACCTGTACATAGACCCAGAGCCTACTGTTCAAACAAAACAAGATACTTCATGGCTTAAAATCAAGAAGGGTGTGCATCAGGATTGTATCGTTTCACTGTATTCATTCAATTTGTATGCTGAGCAAATAATCTGAGAAGCGAGACTATATGAAGAAGAGCACAGCATCAGGATTGGAGGAAGACTCATTGACAACCAAGTAAAGATGACTTGAAACACTTACTGATAAAGATAAAAAACAGCAGTCTTCAGTATGGATTACACCTCAACATAAAGAAAACAAAAATCGTCACAACTGGACTGATAAGCAACATCACAATAAATGGAGAAAAATTAAAGTTGTCAAAGATTTCCTTTTACATGGCTCCATAATCAACACCCATGGAAGCAGCAGTCAAGAAATCACATATATTGCACTGAGCAGATCTGCTGCAAAATACCTCTTTAAAGTGTTGAAGAGTCAATAGGTCATTTTGAAGACTGTGGTACTGACCTAAGCTATGGTATTTTCACTTGCCTCATACGCATGTGAAAGCTGGACATTGTATAAGGAAGACTGAAGAGTTGATGCCTTTGAATTGTGGTGTTGGCACAGAATACTGAAAATAACCACAGACTGCCAGAAGAATGAACAAATCTGTCCTGGAAGAAGTGTAGCCGGAATGTTCCTTAGAAGCGAGAGTGGCCAGACACGCTTTGATCATGTTGTCAGAAGGGGCCAGGAGAAGGATACTGTGGTTGGTAAAGTAGAGAGTCAAAGAAAAAAGGGAAGAACTTCAACGAGCTGGATCGACAAAGTGGCTGCAACAGTGGGTTCAAGCATAGCAAGGATTGTGAGGATGGCACAGGACTGGGTAGTGTTCTGTTGTGTTGTATATAGGGTCAACATGAATCAAAATCTACTTGACAACACTTAACAACATTTATATGGCCAATTTGATCCTATTCTTTTAAGTCCAGTTACCTAATACTGTAACTCTTTAGATGAAAAGGTGTTTAGAAGACTTGCTTTTCTGTTTTCCTTAATAGAATTTTCATTTCAAATTATCTTACTCCCTTTTAAGGTTACTGAATCTTAGTATTCTAAATTTGATATTCCTATTTCAGGTGTGCTAGAATTTAATGGAATTCTTCAAAGCAATATGCTCATATCATTGATAACCTGTTTGATGAACTTGCCTTTTTTTTTTCTAGGTACCTGAAAAGGTTTAAAGTGATGAAGATCAAAGTCTTAAGAAGCTGGTGCCGTCAGATCCTTAAAGGACTTCAGTTTCTTCACACAAGAACTCCACCTATTATTCACCGAGATCTTAAGTGTGACAACATCTTTATCACTGGCCCTACGGGCTCAGTCAAGATTGGAGACCTGGGACTGGCAACCTTGAAGCGGGCTTCTTTTGCCAAGAGTGTGATAGGTATGTTTCAAATGTACCTTGGAGCCTAACTGGCTTTCTGACAGTCTATTTATTTAGAAACCTGGCACTCTGAGAACTTTTATTGAGTGAAATAGGCCTTCATAGCTTAAATCCAGGAAATGATCAGTTCTTTTGTTGAGATGTAGCATTCTCTATATTTATACTTCTATAACCGTCTTGAATATTTGATGTTTTATAGTTACCTAGAAAAAAGGAAGGAGAATTTGTTGATACAGCCTCGTGTCTTACTGAGTAATTCAGTCTTCCTAATTCTTTGGCATTTGATATTATGTACTATTTATATATATAGTAAATTTTGTGTCTTACTGTTCCCCTAAAAGAAATGGAATTTTTATATAGTTTAGTTTCTAAAATGTGTGCTTAATATATATGTATATTCAAGAATATCTGTCTCTTAAAACTTTATGAACAGATGTGAAAAATAGGAGTCCATTCTGAAGAAAAGGTTTATAAGTTTTATGAACTTTTTTTCTTACTCACACTCTTTAAAAGTTACATATCTAAAACAGAGTTTTTGAACCTTCATACTACTGATGTGTTGGGCTGAAAAATTGTTTGCTGTGAAGGGCTGTCATTTGCATTGTAGGATGTTTAGCTGTATCTCTGGCCTCTACCTACTAGATACCAATAGCATACCATCTACTATCTCCTACCTCCCAGTTGGTAGCAACCAAAAATGTTCCCAGACATTGCCAAATGTCCCCTGGGAAGCAAAATCACCCTCTGTCAGCAATCACTGAGCTAAAGAACAAGACTACCCTTTCAGACTTTTAATTATATATTACCTATTGCCATTGAGTCAATTGTGACTCATCCAGACCCATTAGGACCCCATAGAGTTTCCAAGGCTGTAATTTTTATGGATGCAAACTGCTACATATTTTTCCTCCTGCAGAGAATGGCTGGTAGATTCAAACCTCTGACCTTTCAGTTAGCAGCTGAGCATTTAACGACTATATCACCAGGACTCCTTAACTCATTGTCATTGATTCAGTCCTAACTCATAGCAACTCTGTGAGGACTGCCCCATAGGATTTCTAAGGCTATAAATCTTTACGGAAATAGACTGCCACGTCTTTCTCCCATGGAGTAGCTGGTGAGTTTGAACTGCCAGTCTTTCAGTTAGCAGCCAAATGTTTACCCACTGCTCCACCAGGACTCTTCAACTATATATTGTTGTTGTTCTTATGTGAAGTTGAGTTGGACCCGACTCATAGTGACCCCTCCTTGGGTTTCCAAGGCAGTATCACTATGTAAGTAGATTGCCCCATCTTCCTTCCAAGGAGTGGCTGGTGGGTTTGAACCGCCAGCCTTCTGGTTAGTAGTCAGTTGCCTTAGGCACTATGCTACTAGAGCTCCCTCAACTATATATTAGAGAGTAGTAACTAGAAAAATAATCTAATGCCTATTATTTTGAAAAGGTTTCATTCTCTAAGGAGGGTATCACGATTTAAAAACTAAATCTGCACAACTACTACTATACTTCCCTCTTCCAAAAGGTAACAGGAAGAACAAAAGAAACCTATTGATTTTTTTTAAAATAGGCTAGAAAGTTAAGTATTACTAGAGAGGGAAAAGTGTAAAATACTAGTGATTTTCATATCCTTATAAAACAGCGGTCTCATAAAAATAATATGCAACTTAGATTTAAAATACTTTTTGTACATTTTCTTACAAATCAGAGTAGTAAGGAGAATGGGAAGAGTTACTGAAAGTTGAATTTACTTTTTACCTTCCTTACAGAAAACATCTCTTTTCATTGTCCTTTGGTTGGCATCTTAAAATCTCTGACCCAAAAGAGTTTTTTTTCTTTTTAAATCATAATGTGCAAACTTGTTCTTGGCAATGGGTATAACTTGAAATATCCAGACGTAATTTCTCTGGAAGCATTGCAAAACCTGGTTTTGTGGATTCACACATATTTTGCTCATAACTCAGTCTTTCTATGTTTGAGTTATGTATATCTGTGCTTTTGTGCATGCACCCATGTATTATGTCCCTCACTTTATTTCTTGTATCTGCAGTAGGCTTATTTGTGTATTGCAGGTGGTATGGTAAATATGTAAAGGACTGTGGTGAATGGCCTTTCATAGTTAATTACACTTTTTTTTTTTTTTTTTAAGTTACTGAATATTGGGTTTTTCACTGCAAGGCTTCTTAAAAGTGAAACTGATCAGATGGGAAATGTTGATGCCAAAGACTAGAAGTAAATGTTAACCTTACAACTACCATACAGTAGGGGGCAGACGGGTATTTTGAGCTTTTTTAACCCATCATATCTTCCAGGTTGATGCCATTGTGTCTACTTTATCCTTTGCTAATCTTTTTCCTTTTCCTTCCATTTGTTTTCATTGTGAGCTATTTTAGCTTATCTTTTACTCAAGGTTCTATAATAGGAATCCGTTTGAAACACTACATAGACACTTGAACCCTGTTTTGGTTTCTTATAAGAGCCTTGCAATGGAGGATCTGTATGATGGAACAGACTAAGAAGATTTCCTTCCTCCTCTCTCTCTTTCTCTTTCTTTCTTTTTTTTTTTCCCCTTCTACTTAATTTTTTTCTCAAATGTAAATGCCTCTTCTTCTCCCCACAATGAATAGTCTGCAGCTTCCACTTGCATTGAATCTGAATCATTTTTTTAATTTAAGGTACCCCAGAGTTCATGGCCCCTGAAATGTATGAGGAGAAATATGATGAATCTGTTGACGTTTATGCTTTTGGGATGTGCATGCTTGAGATGGCCACGTCTGAATACCCTTACTCAGAGTGTCAAAATGCTGCGCAGATCTACCGTCGTGTGACCAGTGTAAGTCTTAGCCTTACTGATTAGTGAAGTTAAGAGACAGTTAACAAAAAACCCTAAGCTGAACAACATTGAACCATAGTGGAAATAAGAGACAGTAGTAAAAGCATAGTGAAATGGTTGGGATGGTCAAAGTACATGCAAAATATTGCTAATGATACAGTGAGAGCAAAGATAAAGATCAAAGAACCACAAGTTTATCAGGACCTTTTCTTGCATACCGTTATTATGAGATAGGTTTCAAATCACATTTCTGTGACCCACTTTTCAAACTGTTTGTTTAATTAGCTCCTGTACCCTTTCACAATAAAGCTTAGTTCACAACTTTTTGATATATTAAATCATATGTGAGGACCCATGAAGTTTAAAGTATAAATTAATACCTTATTATAGTTTGAATTATCTGTGATAGTTGATCCCTATTGGCAGAGATATTTTCTGGAGTTGTCCATTTAAAGCCTAAAACATTATTATTAGATCCATAATCATAAAGCACATAAGAAGGCTTTCTACAAATTGCATAAAAGTTAAGGCAAGTAATTCCATTGAATATTAAGGAAACTTTTTCTTTTATTAAAAGTCCAAACTTACATAAAAGTAGACAGAATGGGATAATGAGTTCCCATTCATTAAACTCAACATGAATGTTAAAACTATTTTGCTACATTTGCTTCGTCTGTCCTTTTTCTCATGTCATTTTACCATTATATACTTTGTTATACTTCTCTAAAAATACAGATTTTTCTTACATAACCATGTTGTTGTTGTTTGCCGTCGAGTCGACCCCGACTCATAGCGACCCCTCCTTGGGTTTCCGAGGCAGTATCACTACGGAAGTAGGATTGCCCAACCTTCCTTCTGAGGAGTGGCTTGTGGGTTTGAACCGCCAGCCTTCTGGTGAGCAGTCAAGTGCCTTAGGCACTATGCTATCAGAGCTCCTTACATATCATACCTAAAAAAGGTTTACAGTAATTTCAAGATTGTCTAATACACTGAATCTACTCATTCCTCTCATTGTTTCAGAGATGTCCTTTTACAGTCAGTTTGTTCAAAATAGGATCAAGGTCCACAGAAGTATTTCATTATATGTCTCTTAAATCTCAATCGAGAACTGTTGTCCCCACTTTCTTTTTCTGTGTGCCATTAATTTATAGGCAGTCTGTGGGTTGTGAACTCCTAGTTGACCTTAACTGTTATGTAAATTTGCCCTCACTTTAAGATGACTGAACCAATGTCTACTTGCAGCAAATTCTTCATTGCTATCACTTTTACTTGCTGCATACTTTACTTTTACTGAATCGTTGAAAAGGCTGTGAGCCTTTTCTTGCACTGAAGTAAGGCTAACTAAGAACCACATGCACCTGTTCCTATTTTTCTACAAATTCAACTTAAAAACACTTAGAAATGAATCTTTTTGGTACCCTGAGGATGCCTCATATTGATGAAATTAAGTGAATTGTTTTGAAGAATGTTCCACATTTTAGATTTATCTGCTTGCTTCCTTGTGATGCCATTTAACTTACTATTCTGTCTTTCGTATTTCTTTAAACCTAAGTTTGCTTTAAAGTAGTTGGGAGGCAGAATTTGTTGACAACATTAAAATATTTTTGCCTTCTTTGCTGTTGTTCACATGAATGTACAAAGTATTTTTCCAGAATCTATATATGTGATATTGCAGCCAATTAAATGCAGAAGCAGATGAGAGAATCTGTTTATCTTCTGTTAAGCCATATTTTAGAAAGATTGTAAAAATGTGCCAGTCTTCTCACTAAATATGTTTGGGGTTTTTCTCCGTTTTGGAAAATACAGGATTTTTTTTTTTTTTTTTTTAATGTAAAAAGATGTTACTTATATGGACATATTTATTACTATAATAAATATATTTTAGTTTTCTCACTTTTAATTTCTAACATTGTAAATACCCATATAACAAAAGTTGTCTGGGGTTCTCAGTAGTTTTTAAGAGTATAAAGGTATCCTGAGACCAAAAAAAGGTTTGAGAACCACTGCTCTAAGGCTTGATAAAATTTTGATTATACTTTTTTGGCAAAGATACTTTATATGTGATGCTGTGTACATTTCATCAAGTGGCACATAGTATCTACCAAACCCACTTTAGTGATACAGTTTGACTGAATTTTAACATAGTAGACTAAGATGATTGATTATAACTTGCTTATTTAGGTTTGATAGCTGGTCAGAGTCATGACTTTTTTTTCTTTTTTCCTGAAAGCTGATGGAGGAAACATTTTGCTTTAGGTAGAGTGAGGTGGTTTTAAATCTTTGTAAACTAAGGCTTGAAAGAAATCTTTCATTATCCCAGTGCTGTGAACAGTCCTTTAAATGTTTGTTGTGGTTGTTACATGTTGTTTGTTTGTGATGGGCGTTGAACTACCTCAATTAAACATGAATAATAAGAACTAGTAAAATCTTCATAATAATAATAGCTTCTGTTTACATACAAAGGATCAAGTTATTCCTGGCTTTACAGCTGGAGTGGTATTTTACCAGCTATTTTTGCTGGGTATAGGGAACTCTGGTGGCCTCGTGCCTAAGGCGTTTGACGGCTAACCAGAAGGCTGGTGGTTCAAAGGAAGGTTGGGCAATCTACTTTCATAGTGTTACCAACTTAGAAACCCAAGAAGGGGTCACTGTGAGGCAGACCCAACTTGACAGCAGTGAGTTTGTTTTGTTTTGTTCTGGTTTTTTTTTTTTTTTTTGGTTTATTACTGGGTGTATGTCTCCAGGTTTGTCAGGAAGCTTTACTGTTATCATGCCCATCCCATCCCATCCTACCCCAGGCTTTGATCCAGGTTTTCATCCACAATTGGGCTCACCAAAGCATTGATTCTCAAATTCAGGCTGAGTGGGGGCAGTAAGGTTTGGTAAGCCTTTAGGTTAATTCTCATTAAGTACCCTTGTCATTATTCTGCCTTTATACCCTGACAAAGCTCATCTGGTTTGCCTCTCAGAGTTCTATATATTCAGTCCAGGTTCCAGTCTCTTTACTGTTTTTCCCATTTCTTCTCCCAGTGTATAATTACTTACTTTTTGCTAGCATTTCATTTTATATGATGAGAAAATGGTTTGGCTACAAATATGGCAGAAAATAATAACTTTAGTAGATAAAAAGTCATGATTCCAGGACTAGAAAGGTAGTTTCCTATTCACATGCATTTCTATAGAAGCCCAAATCTCATAATTTCTGAAAAACCAGTTTCAGTAACTTTCCATTATTTGACTAGATCTCTGTTTTGTTAGGAGCCCTTAGGTAGCACAAACAGTTAAGCACTCTACTATTGACTGAAAAGTTGGCAGTTTGAACCCACCTCAAAAGAAAGGCCTGGTAATTTGCTTCTGAAAGGTCATACAAAGCCTTGAAAACCTTATGGAGCAAGCTCTGCTAAGCAACTCATGATTTTTTGTTTGTGTGTTTTGTTATGTTGAAGAATTTATCCATAATTTTTACCCTATAACTTACTCCCACTTTGTTTCCTGAGAGTTCACTGGGCTCTGATGGCACTGTGGTAAAACATTGGGCTGCTAACCAAAAGGTCAGCAGTTCAAACCTACCAGCCACTCCACAGGAGAAAGAAGAGGCAGTCTGGTTCTGTAAAGATTTATAGCTTTGGATACCCTGTGGAGCAGTTTTACTTAGTCCTGTAGGGTCACTATAAGTCAGAATAGACTTGATGGCATTGGGTTTGATTTTTGGTTTTAACCAAATCATAATTATACTTAGTAGTTCCTCGTGTGTTTCTAGACCATGGTCTTGATGTCATTTAGCCTTTCATATTAAGGCCCATCACGTTCGGTTTATGTATTTATATATTTTTTAAAATTTCTTAGGAAAAGAGGCTTATATGTGTAATTGGAGGAGGGAGATGCTCAGCGGTTGTTTTCTTGATTTAGAGGAGATTAAATAGGAAGGGGAAAAAAATTGTAGTTGGACGTAAAGAACTTGACAAAGTTATAATACATATAAAAATCTACTGGTAGAGGTTTCAGATTCTGTCCAGCAAGCTCTTTTGAGAAGTGAATAAATTAGACAGCTTGGCTTTCTGACCTGAATTATTTATTTAGCTTAATGGTTTCTCCAAGTCTTTATATCAAGACCCCTTTACACTATTTAAAATTATTAAAGACCAAAGAGCTATTTTTTACTTGTGTTTGTCTATTGATCTTACTGTATTAAAAATTAAAATAGAATTTTTTAGAGTATTTATCAAATAGATGCTCTGGTGGCATAGTGCCTAAGGCATTTGACTGCTAACTAGAAGGCTGGCGGTTCAAACCCACCAGCCACTCCTCAGAAAGAAGGTTGGGCAATCTACTTCTGTAGCGATGCTGTCTTGGAAACCCAAGGAGGGGTCGCTATGTGTCGAATTCAGCTCGATGGCACTGGATTTGATTTTGCTTTGGTTTTATTAATTGAAAAATAACTATTTTTTTAAATGAAAGTAATTTATTGACAACAACTTCATTTTTACTTTTTTGCAAATTTCTTTTAATGTTTGATCTAATATAAAACAGCCAGATTCTCCTATCTGCTTCTGTGTTTACTCTATTACAATCTGTTGTTTTGTTTGAAGTGTATGAAGAAAATCTGGCCTCACACAAGATAGGTAGTTGAAAATGGGAGTAAGTCACAGACCTCCTGGAAGGATCCTGGGAACACTAAGCCATCTTCATATACCACATATTGAGAACCACCATTTAAAATCTTTGCTATGCAAAATATAGTCCTTAAGCCAGCAGAATGTTCATCTTGGAGCAACACATCAGAGCACTTGCTAAAAATGTAAAGTTTTGGCCCTGTCCCTGACTTATTAAATCAAAATCTGCATTTTAACAAGATTCACATGCCAATTAAAATTTGAGAAGTATGACCTGGATCTATGATCCCTTCTGGTCCCTCGCAGTTCTGTATACCTTATTTTTGGTTAGATAAATAAAATGTAGGCTAGATAATGCAGTACCACAGTGTTAATTTGAGTAAATTA